ATGGAGGGAGAGGAGGGAGGGATGGATGGAGGCAGGGAGAGGAGGGAGGGATGGATGGAGGGAGGGAGAGGAGGGAGCAGGTAGGGAGATAATATAGACTGGAGAAGAGAGAGGGAGGGAATGGGATTGCATGAGGAGTGATAGAGAAACGAGAGAGAGAGAGAGAAGGAGAGAGAGAGATAAGAAGAGAGAGAGAAGAGAGAGAATGATGAATGATATCAAACAGAGAAAGTGTGTGCGAAAACGGGGGTAAAACGAGGCTTAAAGGGATCACGGAAGAGAGCAAACTAGCGAAATAGCAATAATAAGAGAGAGAGAGAGAGAAAGAGAGAGAAAGAGAGAGGGGGAGAGAGAGAGAGAGGGAGAGGAGGAGAGATGTACATATAATCTTGAATAACTGTGTTTCATTTGAAATGGCGTGGCGTGCGATGAATGATAACTTGAGCATTATCAGATTAACTAAGATGCCTACAGGAACGAAAGACAAAAGTGAATTGATATGTTTCGTCTAAAAAGATTACCTTGTATTCTTGTTCTGTATAATGTACCATATATAATATCAGAACTCACCTACTTGCCAGAACTTTCATCCAAAAGCTTAGTCTAAAAAGACAAGGCCGTCCCTGGATGGGCTCGAACCACCAACCTTTCGGTTAACAGCCGAACGCGCTATCCGATTGCGCCACAGAGACAACTATGTAATTCCATTATTTTCAATTCTTTAAAGTCCTTTCTAACTCTCATCATGTGACTCACAGGAGCATGAACGTTTTTAATTTAAGTTGTTCCTGTTTTATGACGTCATCGTGGTGACATTCGATCTATGAGTCCAGTTTGAGTCCCATGTATAGTCATTGTTTGTAAAGAAGAACTTAAATTGATTATCCGAATCAAACCCTACCATTTTCATTTAAAAAACAAGATTTATAACTGATTCTAGTCTTATGAAGCCTTTTAATATACAAGTCCACTAAAGAAATCTGAGAAACACAATTAGTTATTAAGCTTTCTGAGTAGTGAGTACTCTATTGTATTCTGTTGTTTAAAGTCCATAATCGAAATTTAAGATGGGCACAACTATGCATTATGTGGATATAAATAATGTTAATCAGTTAATGCAAACACATGGTTAATTATTTATTATAGTAAAGGCATAATGCTTGTAGCACTATAAATGAAATGAAATGCAAGAGAAATTGATTGGAAAGATCAAAGCATTGATTTTGGTATTTTTTGTTTTCTGCTGCTTATGCTGGTTTTTGTTGTTGTAATCTTTATACCCAGAGCTATGACTGTGAACGCACTGTTGGTTGGATACTGTGTAAGCGCACGGGAATTTACATAAGAAATGTGATATTGTGATATGCGATTTACAAAAATAGAATAATCGTTTCTACCATTATGGACTGTAAGCTTTTTTCAGGACCATTACGATAATAACTTACTGTCAAGAATTGAGAAGAAAACGAGAATGAAAGAGATGAAAGAAAGGAAAAGAGGGAGAAAAGAAGAAGAGAAGATGAGGAGAAAGATAGAGAGAAAGGGGAAGGTAGAAAGCTTTCAAGTCGGCGTCGATTCAAGTGTGTGACGAACTCGAAAGCGAAATCGCGCTGACAATAGGTCAACGAGAGAAAGGGAAAACGCGCCTATGCCTGCTCCGCCAGACGATAATCAAATTTGTGACAGGCCGGTTTCCCGCGCTTCGCATCTTCACCGGGCTATTAAAGCTTCTACCTTCGCAAGCAGGTCGTGCGTGGAATATTCAGTTCCCTCTTTTTTTTTTTTTTTCATCCTCGTCATCTTAACATTCTCGTTCCTCTCCTTTTCTCCTCTTTTCCCTTCTCTTATTATTTGTCCTTTCTTATATTTACAAGTGTCGGAGATGTTGCTCAACCATCATCGCTCCGTATCAAGTGTTTTTTTCCCTCTTCCTTTCTCTGTCTCTTTCTTTTGATCGTTGAACAAACTTTACTGAGGCATATTTTTCGCGTGATTACACCAAGGATTTCCCTCGACGTGTAATTTATATTTTGTTACACAAAGACTTTAGAGAAGAAATATGATGGAAGTAAAGGGTTTTCCTGTCATAGGCCATTAAAACATGATACGAAATGAACATCGAACTCGGGCCGGCTCGTGGATATGCATTGAAATTCAAAACCTGAAAGTGAGATGTTGGGATAGAGAGTTCCGATGCTCATTTTTACCGCCAGCTTCTCTTGGCTAGCACTTTTTTCTTTTACATCGTCTGTGCACTGCCCGTTTATTTTCTCCTTGAATATACAAACGATTGGTCCGCTTCTGAAATGAATTATATCAAACAAGGTATTTTAATAAAGATGTTTGGTTCATTTTAAAAAATAGACAAACAAGGCTCGTATCATTTCACATTATTTGTTAATTGTCATATATGATATTATCTGTATTGATCTTAATTTAATGTATCGTTTTTTTTAACAAGGGGTTACGTGATGTTTGAAACGAGCCACAAACTTTACATACATACTGTTTGTTACCGGTGTATTTACATACATACTGTTTGTTACTGGTGTATTTGTGTGTGCGCGTGTGTGTACGTGCGCAGTGCGTGTGCGTGTGTGAAGGTGTGTGTGTGGGTTTTAATAACTATAACAGTATTACCGCAAATAATTTTTCAGAGTACACCGTATGGTATTTTACTTCTTATCTCATTTTATTATTTATGTGGGATACCCACATGTAATTTTCGGATGTTCTGCACCATATAAGAAAGGAAGATCCAACAGTGTTTGAGATGCTCTTAACGTTTCCTTCTTCTTCATTTTGGTCGCCAAATCCATATGATTGTTGTGATATCAAATAGTCATTTGGAAGGGCATGATATTAAAATGATAATATAATAGAAACTGTAAACACTACTGCCCATATTATCCTCCAGTAAGATCCGTTTATATTTCAAAAACATTGAATTTTATAATTTTGCATCGAGACGTATCGTATCAATTCATTTTTGTTACAATTCTCTTACGAATGTTAGGCGATCAGTAATATAATGGATAAGTTCGCACTCATGGCACTTAATAACGCGCCATTCCACATGATACACTTTCAATTCTTACTAACTTATCTAATGCTTCTTTCTTTCTTTGTTTGCTGATACGTCCTTTTCTTGTGAATGACAATATGATATTTCTGAATATTACAATTACTCATGGCAAACAAAGTAAGTAGCACAACTATAGAAACTTCTCTTTTTTCTCTTTTTTTATTTTGGCACGAATCAGAACATAATACAAGATCATTCATGAGTATTATTTACATGCATACACTGTACATACATCTTTGTGCAAAAAGTAAACGAAGTTATAATTCTTTTTAGAATAGTTTTGTTCCTTATTCAGCCTCTCTAATGTATTATAATACTTCTGACAAAATTGAGAGGTAATATTCCAAACGAATTTTTAGTTTAAAAAAAAGAAGAAGAGTTAATAAAATTGTGTACCCCTGTAAAAATGAGAATGTGAGTTAGAGACGAGAAGGTAAATTCTTTATAAGTAAACAACACCTAAAAATTGTTCTTTTCTTTTGGTTCCAAGAGGGAGTTTGAGAAGTTAAACTCTAAAGAGGAAACAAGACTCAGGAAAGAATAATTTATAGATATTATTATAAAATATTATTACAAGAATATCGTGGTAACATTTGGTTCTGACACTCTAGATAAGATTACTCATAATCTATCCTAAACAAAATATATCGAGAAAGTAAAAGCATTGTAATTTGGCTAATAATTATTGATAAATAACAAATTTAAGGTTATTAGAAGCTTAAAAAACTACTTGTTATCATTACCCCAACTGATAAAAGTTTTCTGTATTTATGGATTCTCTTTCTCAATTTTAGAAAAGCCAGTCCAAAGATAGGTATATAGTCCTTAATCCATTGGAATATTGTAAATGAAGAGTTAAATAGAAATATCAAAGGTTCTACTCAGTTTGCAACAAATAAGAGGTCAAACCAGAGTAAATATTGCATAAACGGTCCCATCAAATCAAATGTGAGTAAGTAGTACATGACTCTTTTGAAATATCATAAGAATAATTTTTGTTTTAAATCTTGATTCAGCATTATATATTGCACCTTTCCCTTCATCATTTCAAAATTTGCTTTTCATTGAAGAAACATTTATCCTCACACAAAATGTGGACATTCAGTGAAGAATAAGAAGATTTAGAAATAATTCTGTTTTTTCTTCAATTTTGTAAATAATTATATACAATTTCATAACAACAACAGGCATGTAGCACTAAACCCTGCAAAATACAATAATGATGTAACAAAGAAGTATAGACTACTTATACATAAAGGTGTATGCTCAAAGTCTATAAAAGATCAGAAATATACAGAAAAGACATTTTCACAAAATTAATTTCGTTTCCTTTGGTTTCGTAGATTACGAGATATAAATAATAAATCTACAAACAAGAAAGAGTCGCTCAAGAATTCCTTTAAAATGGAAAGAGACCAGTTTTTATATGAATTTCGATTTTCTTTAAATATTCTAACCATAATGTTGATATAATGCAAGTACATGTGTAATACTTTCTTTTTAAACCAACGGGTTGAAATGAAAACAAATCAACCAAATGGCGTTATGGATGATACACAAAGATTTAGTATCATGAATTGTAATTATCATGAATTCCCAGACATTCCATCTTTATTTTGCCTGTTTTCACTATGAAATATAAGAAGTAAAGGGATATGGTTTAGTATCTCGATATCATGTTGTCATTTTATTTCCTTATCTATCCATATTATATGAAAGTAAAGTTTTCTTCCATCTTGTGTATTCAGAATACACATTTACTGTTAACTTTATACGTATGAAACCATGAGACGTTGAATAGCCTAATGTGATTACAACAAAAATGTAATATAACACCCTCTACACAGTTCTAACGATGAGAATGGTTGTTTTTTTATAAATAAAAAGACGATCAAATTCCATCAGTAAGTGAGAAAAAGGTCATTTTCACACAGTGTTCCAGTCATCCTGTAAAACAATGACTTCAATTTTGTCATGATAATCACAATAACATATCGCGAATAGCCGAATTCCGATAGAAAAGAGGTGAGAAAATAGCACATACTAACAAAATCCCTCCTCATGACTTCAATAGTTCAACGAAAACAGACTCGAATGCGAGGTGGCTTTGGCGTGCGAGGTCTTAATTTGACCATGTCCAACCGGGGCAGTGGCGGCGTGTTGCAGTGCTGATGCCGAGGGGAATATAGTGGAGTATGGACTATGGAGAGCGGGATGAGTAGCGGCCGAGGCGGAGTTTGCAGCCGCCCATGAACCACCGCTGGTCAGCTGTGAGTGAGAGGTCGGGTGGGACGTCGGGTGGGAGTGCGATGAGGGATGCTGAGATGAATGACTTGAGACAGACGAGTTGGTTGATGAGGAATGGGTAACTGCGATGAAAATAAAAACGAGAAATAGAGATGATTAGAATAATAAAGATGACGATGACATGTATGAAAATATGTTAATCAGAAATTACTGTCCATCAAAAGACAGAGTAAATGTAGGATAATGACGAGAGTTACAGAAATAAGCAAACAATATCACCTTATCCTCGGTTTTATATTTTGTGGTGTGATTTATTTGTATTTATTTAATAAGAACTCAATACAATTTAACATTATTCTACTACAATTTGAATACTTTAACAAAAAAGATAAACAGATATTTTAGTATTTTAAGTTAGCAAAAGTGGGGGGAGAGAGAGAGAGGGAGATACGCACATTTTGTTTTAAAGGATAGATGAGCTAAGGCTATAGTTGAAAGAGGAGTTATGAGATATATAATTGAAAACAATAATTGAGAAAGGACAGCGACAGAAGCAGAGTAGGTGGAAGGCCTTACCTGATGAAGCAGACGAACTAACACTGGTCATAGATCCGACGGTAGTGGGCGCTACAGGTGACAAATCTTCGGCCTTCAGTGATTTCTTCTTCACAGGAGACACTGCTCCTCCACTCGTCTTCGCTTGACCACCGGTCTGAGACAACTGACCAACACCACCATGTTGTTGACCCGTTGACCCAGTCGTGCCGTTGGTCAGTGCACTTCCGGTAGTTGTCCCACTGGCTGGGCTGTTGCTACTGTTGCTTGTGGTGTTGCTATTGTTGGTGTTGCTGCTACTGTTGTTGGTGTTTGTGGTGGTGTTGTTATTGTTGCTGGTGCTATTGTTGTTGTTGTTAGAAGTTGCTGCAGCATTGGCGCGTTCTGTTTTCCTGAATTTTGCCCTCCTGTTTTGGAACCATACCTGAAAATATAGGGAAAAAAGACGCTTATCGTTTACCACGAGCTTACATTGCGCAGTCATTTATGAATGATTCCAGACATAAGAGTAATGTAGCAAAGGTGACTGAATTTTTGAATGTCATCATAATGATTATATTGGTGAAATGACACAGAGAGGAACGCAGGAACAGAAGAAAAACAAATCTCATCTGGGATTTTAAAAAAATGATAAGATGGAATGAGGATATAAGGATATTGTTTTGTGTCGTGATTATCTTCAGAGTTTTTTTAATAATAAGGGTAGTGAAAGATAATAAATGTTAAAACAAATATAGCAATAGTAGTAGTAGCAGCAGTAGTAGCAGAAGCAGTAATAATATTAGAAGTAGTAGTAGTAGTAGTAGTAGTAGTAGTAGTAGTAGGCCTAGGAGTAGTAGTGGTGGTAGTAGAAGTAGTAGCAGCAGCATCAGCGACAGCAGTAATAGTTGTAGTTAGTGGTGGAAATGAGGTAACAATAATTAGAAAAAATAATTAATAACAAACATATAAAACTCAACTCACCTGTACCCTGGCTTCAGTTAGATCAGTCTTCAAGGCTAATTCCTCTCGTTTATAGATGTCCGGATAATGGGTTTCATTAAAGGCTTTCTCGAGCTCTTTGAGCTGTGCACTGGTAAAGGTTGTCCTGATGCGGCGCTGTTTTCTCTTCTCGTGCAGGCCGTTAGAGGTGGTCGAACCCTCGTGGAGTATTCGATGCATGTACGGCATACCGGCTGAAACAGAAAGAAGAAAAAAGAGAGGGGGTTTTGTTAGTAAATTCTAAATTGGATGAAGTTTAGTTTGTAATGAAAATATTTTATGATTAGTATAAAAAATAAATACTTGGACATCTTTCTACGTTTACGTTTTTTAAATGATGATGATCATGTTGATATTGATGATGATGATAAGGAAAATGATAGTGTTGGTGTTGGTGGTGTTAGTGGTGTTGGTGATGTTGGTTAAAATGATATTGATGATGATGTTTATGATGATGATGATGGTGATGATGATGAAAATGACAATGCTGTTGGGATGATGATGGTGATGATGTGGTGATGACGATGTGGCGGTGGTGGAGGTGATGATGATAGTGATGGTAGTGATAATGGTGATATTGGATGAAATGACGATGATGATGATGATGATGATGGTGGTGGTGGTTAAATGATGGTGATGAATCTGATGATGGTGGTGGTGGTGGTTGTTGTGGTATAGTGTAGAGAGGAACTGATACATAATGATCGCGGGAGGGGGTGGGGTAAACGCATTAACCCTGAATAATACACTCCACACTACAGACAATTCCCAAAATATTGTAAGGCAACTGCCCTCTCCTCCACTTGCCCCCCCCCCCCCTTCCTCCTCTCCTGCTCACCATATTTCGGTTTGGACATTCACATTCATTAAAGTTTACTTCATACTTTATTATTTCTTTTAGATTTGTGTGTTAAAATATTTATGGGCCAGTTGAGCATAATGGTCGAGTCGAGTGGATTTATTTACGGTACATTTTTTTTCTTTACAATGTCTTGTTTTTGTTTACATCCGACTAACTTTTATAGTGATTTAATCATGAATTAGTTATGTCATGAAATTTAACTGGAGTCAATTCGATGCCTTTATTATCCCTTAATAATTATAATGAGTCAACGCAATACATTTATTATCCATTAATGATGTAAGATGAAATCATTAAATAATGATACACAGTTCCAGAAGTCATGTTTATAACTGGATTTAACCACAAAGCATGTATGTAAATATATTGTAAGAAATGTGTGGATTTACAGATAACGAGAGTATTTGTAAACAAAAATTAACATAATCTATTTGAATAGTAATCACTAAAAGTAATTTGGTGACTATATCTTTCATCAATTTGTTATTTTCCGTGTGATTGGATTGTTATCATCTGACAGACAGAGAGATTCATATTTTATACATAATTATCTGCAAATTACGATCAATTGCGATGGGGTCTTAGAGACCACGGACATGGAGAAAGGTCTAATGCAGTGTCACATTAATTACCTTACATTTCTAGGATTGATATAGTTAGTTACTCGACGACAAAACTCAACTAATGAGCGGAAAGTCGTTCAGTAAAGTCAACGAAAAAATGGCGCGATTTAAAGGTAAGTGTGCGTGAGAGAGCGAGAGAGAGAGAGGGAGAGAGATAGCGATAGAGAGAGAGAGAGAAGGAGAGGGAGATGAAGGGAGAGTACTAAAGAGGATAGAAAACTGTCAAAACGAGTTAAGTTATTGCACAATGTTTGTATGTCAATCGAAATGAATATGATCCACAATGAGGAGCGTGATAAAGGCGATGCAAAGAGCGCGTGATCATGGGACGGTTTCTCTGATTAACGACTGGGCTGGAGCAGGGAGAGTGACTCGAGGTGAAAAGGAGGGATACTGTATTTTACCAAGCAGCGAAACTTCATCTCATCATCTAAAAGCTTATGCATGCATTAACACGATCCGTTCCTAGATGCATCAAATATTATGCAAATGAGTAAACGGAGAGAGGGAGAAAAGAAGATACGTTGAATCATTTTGCGCGTGACTTGATTTTATACCTTAAATAAGTTTCTTTGTTTGATGATTTTGTCTCATTTTGGTTTTATGGCTCATTTTCGAGGTAAACCCCATCAACATTATTCATGCCATAGAATAGGCCTAAGTTTCGATAATTTACACCTTTTTATGTTTATTACGATTTCTTCTGATTTAGATATGTGGAGGCAAAACGAAAGCAAATTAATACATACGATTTCTTTGGTTGGTATGATAATCAAAATTAAATGAAATATTATTGTCCTTTTGCAAAGACAATTTAGCCTCTATCAAAATAAGAGAAGTATTTTCTTTTTCTTTTGATGACGCTATTTTATACATGGTTATGTGAGAACAATATTCAGCCACTGCAAAGAGACCACCTTTCAAATCAGTCAGTTACTAAATGAGCTATAAACTTGAAAACATGCTTGTCTCATGAGGATAGAATGCATGGTACAAACAGAATGTGTTGCATCTACCCAAGCTGACTATTCAAAATATTGACTCAGTTTGATTATTTTCTCTCCCTTTATATGTCTCTGTTTTTCCCCTTTCTCTAGTTCTCTGTATAGGTAGATTTACAAGTATTACCAGCATCACAATCATTTTAAATATAAGCATAGCTTTTTAACATGCCTTACTATTTAAATAAAAGTCAATTACCATAGATGCCATACAATGTGAATCATATGTTATCAAGTTATAATGCTCAACTTCGTCATTTGTTGAGATTTACGTAAAACATCATTCTTAGTCTTAAATGCAAACAAATAAAAGCAAAATACATTAATTAAACAACCCAATTATAAGACAAAATACGTGCATATAACGACAAAATTCCATTCGATTGAAATATAAGCACATTCGCACTTAAGAACCTGAAAGATATTCGTATATAGAGCAATTCTTCTGATATATTTTTATATTGTGTCAAATAGTATTGGTATTTCTATCACAGACCTATATTGCCCTCCGGCCGCTATGAATTATGGATTGTTATTGCATCCATTCTTAGCAACCATTGGTATTTCAGACACGTCCATCGTTTGCATGTATTCATTACAGAGGACAATGGTCATAACGATGGACATAATTTGAAGCGTTGTATATTACTGTCAATGCATCTTTATCTATACATGTATAATGCAAACGCCGCCTGGAACTGTGTCAGATACGGCAATGCATGTCTATTTTTCAGAGCAAATCATTGGTTTGAAAGACGATATTTAGTATGTATAAGCGTTTTCAAAAGACTCTGGACTTCTTAAGACATGTGACTCATGTGTTTTTATACACAGTGAAAAAAAAAGTTACTTACCCTATACCTATCACATAAGTTCCACTAATGCTCCACTGGAGCTATGGTAAATAATAATTGTTAATTTATAATATTTCTACGTGATGATTTCCTTTACTTTTATGAACTGAGTAACTAATTATATATCTGTATATATAAATTAACACTTATGTGATAATCTGAAAAAGAATAATAGAGACGGACCATGAACGGAGTGTTAAAGAAAAATTCAAGGCAGATATTTGAACAGCGGCAGCTTTTTTTTCTACTCTACTACTTGATTTAGTTCTATTGCTATTCTGCATGTGTTTCTGTATACGAATCTCTTTCTCTTTCTATATCACCACTGCATGCATAATACTAAAGGCCTTCATAGCCATGCAGTATATCCTTAGGGGAACATAAACTCTTGATCGCGTGTGTTCTCGCAATAATTCTGGCGTGGTCGGCCGCCGAAATAAAATTAGATATTACTCAGAATTTAACTTAATTATTTCCATTTGACAGAAATCCGATGGTTTCTTTTTCCCCTTGCAACCATGGCAACTACATGTGTTCACGAATGCTCCAAGGCGCAGAAGAAAATGCAGCCATGCAAGTTTATAAAATCTACCCAAGAATATGGAAATCATCGAAGTATACAGGTATATTCAAGCAACAATACACATACATCCCAACGCTGTATAGTGGCATCTTAATTTTGAATATAGACGCGCAAAATGGATTTCTTTTGTTGTGATGACTATAAGCCATTGCTGTTGATCCTTTCACCAACAAGACAACGCATATCAGTGAGGATGTATGTAGTTAAACCTCAGAATAGGATGAAAGAAAGAAAAGAAAGAAAGCAAAAGTAGTAAAACACACTGCAAAACACAAAAAAACATGATGTCTCTATTGAATTTCCAGAAGCTTTGATTATACCACTACACTGTCTTGATCATAGATTAAAAGAAATTTGAAAAGATATTTTTAGATTTTTCAGGATGATCAATCTGTACAAACGGATTTTTAAGAGGGCATTTAAAAAAAAATCAGATTAATGTAAGAAAACGAACAAGACCGCTAAATGAGTTACATTTCCGAATTCATAACTAGTGGTTTCTCGTCACTAGTTTTTCTGCAAAAATATGTACAAAATAAAAATTAAGAGAAATTTATGCGATATGATCGTCAATCTGATATCTTTAAATATTGATTATATGAACAATGATCTAATAATATTTCCCTGTTACATCTTTCTTTTAAATTTTTCGGAGTTAGAATGGAAAAAACACAATTCCTGCCCTCTCTAATTGTATCCAGTCAGGTTGACAACTGTACTCTTTGTTTTGGAAATTTGAGTACACCAAACAACCGCTGACATGTGAAATCACTTTCCTCGTCTAAACACATAAGCAATAACTGGACATTAAAAATACATTCCTTTGTTATAACGAGATAATTATCCAGCTTGTTAGTACCTAACACACAATGAATCTTTAATCGATAAAATGAACCTCCATGATTTATCGCTGAAACCATTTCCGTAACCCATCAATAAATCAATATTTCCTTTCCATAACCAAGAGGTCTGCTGTTAGACTGCGTGAATAATAAATTCGTTCAACATAAGTACCATTATTGATGAACATGTGTTCTTTTTAACAATGTTTTCGTCATGAGCTGATGATATTATGACATATGTTAATAAATCTTTTTGTTCGAATAGAATTAATGAGCATTAGGGAGCATTTTGGAGACCTTAAAGGTAAAGACCAGTATTGGAAACAAAAAATGAAATGGAAGCTCTCATTACCAATCATGTGAAAGAATATGTTTTGACTAATACATTTGCCGGGAAACCGCCTACTAATTCATATATTTGGTAAATTT